CATTATGAAATTAAGGTGCAGATTCCTTCTGGCAAAGTTAACCTTAGACTTTATTTGTTAAGTCTGCCTAACGAAGGCCAATACAAAAAAGCATAACTATCAAAACAATTTTTATTTTCATTTGTTTGTTGAAGCTCAAACTGAGACGTGTAATAGTTGAACTTTTTGTAAGGGGTAGTTTTAAAAATTTTATGATGAACATAAACGATATTCCAAGTTTATAACTTGATGATTGATTGGTTTATTGTGGTTTTTTTAATAACAACCCGTGGCAAATATCAAATACATTCTTATTATCATATTAATTTTGATAGTAATTTATTACGAAAAAATAAATAATGACACGTATCATATTGTTCGAGAGATTTAATCGATCTGAATTTAATGAAAAAATGTTGAAATAATTTATTTATGTCATGAATTGATATACTATATCCTTTCTCTCTGTTGATTAAAATCATAGTATTAATACAACACACCTGCAATACCCGTTATACCATATTTTTACACGTTTACAGTTCTTATTGACATAACATTACCAAAAGATCTTCAAATATGCCTAAAATATAAAGAAAAGAAACCAATTGAACGCAAATGAAATAAGTTGTCATACCTGAGAAATTAGTATTCGCTTTTTTTAGTCACATTTAATACACGTAATCATGATATTGACTAATATATCAATTCTCAGAAGATGAAATGATAAACAGCTGTTGTACATCAATCAATCTGATGCAGGCAAAAACAAAATGAAAAAAAAAACCCCATCGATTTCAGTTGATATTTTGGATATTTATTATAACATTAAATGCTTCTTTCATGTGGTTTTATCAGAATGTTCAAGCGCTGAACGACGAACATATTGTCTGCAATTCAAAGTAAAAATGTTTACACTGTCAACGCGTATGGGCCCTATAAAAAAGAAAAAAAAATGTTCAAATTAGAATAAAATTTTGAATCGTATTTCTATAAGAGGTGCATGTAACTAAAAAAATTATAGAAAATAAAATCAAGCTTATCTTTTGTTTTGTATTTAATATTCCCATGAATTTGTACTATTTTTTTTTGTCATGCAGGGTATGTCCTTCTATGTTGTGATTGTTCTGTTAAATAATAATATTAACAACAATCAAAACTTATGAAGTATTTATAGAAAGTATTTAGTAATGATGTCCGATTACGATGGAATAGATACACCTTTTTTCATAATCAGACCGCCGTTCTTCTTTCAACATTCCTGGCCTATCAACTGCTATTTACATGGTTTAAGTTATTTTAATGACAGGAAAACTTTTCTTGGAACTTCAAGTTCCCGCAAAGCGGTTTGTGTTTGTACCGGCCGACAAAACGGCCAAGAATGTGGCGGTGGTATGACGTAAATACTTCACGAAAATTCTTAAGAATGACATTACAAAGTCTTCGTTATTCAGGTCCATGCGTTCAATAGAAAGTCATATAGTAAACTATCACATCATTATTATATCTCAGCTTAGGGCCTTTTCTGAACATTTGAAGGTACCTGCTATGTATTGGTTACCTAAGCTCCACAAGAACCCCGTAAAGTACCAACTAATCGCGGCCTCTAGTGGGTGTTCTACATGTAATCTTTCAGTGCTTTAAACTAGTTCCATAACTACTTTTAAATAACTTATCATTAACTTTTGTAATAAAGCAAATGCCTAAACAGTATTGTTTTTTATGCAAAAAATCATTATTTGAAATATGCAACTTAAACCGGGAATCCCACATGTATCTTAAGTTATTCACGAAAGAGGAGATTTAAAAGAATCACAAATCTACCCTTCTCTCCTATGGTATTAACATAAAAAAGGACGATGACATTCTTCCGTCTTTATACTGGATACGTAGACTTCACAAAAGTCTTCATAAAGAACGATATGTATCCAGCTCGTCAAGATGTTCGACTAACATATTAACTCATACAGATGTCCAAAATACCACCATCTCCACAGCATAACCTTTTAAGCAGTTGTATGTAAAAAATTCTAGAATAAGGTTGAAAAAAAAAATAATCAAAAAAAGATTGAATAATTTAAAAGAGAGACAATAACTGGGAGACTCATGTGTTTGGAAGGAATTTAGAGGCCATAATTTTGATATTGTAATATGTCTTGTTACTTCAAGGATGAAAAAGAATGTTTCGACTTCAAAACAAGAATTATTGGTAGAAAAAAGTAAAATAACAAAAAATACCAAACTCCAAGGGAAATTCAAAACGGAAAGTCATTTATAAAATGGCAAAATTAAAAGCTCAAACACATCTAACGAATGGAAAACAACTGTCATATTCCTGACTTGGTAAAGGCATTTCCTTATGTATAAAATGGTGGATTAAACATGTTTTTATAGCTAGCTAAACCTCTCACTTGTATGACAGTGGCATAGAATTCCATTATGTTGACAACAATGTGTGAGCAAAACAAACAGACACAATAGGTAAAATCGTCAAAAATTGAGTTACAGCAGTCAACATCGTAATATAATCTTAATCACCATAAAAACAAATAACTGTTGCAACAAAGAAACACAAAATGGCATGTGGACAAAGTTCATAAGCAAAAATGAAAGACAAGAACTCAAAATTGGCCATAACACAATTGCGGGATTTATAAGTACCGATCCACGTCATAAGTATATAATCAAAAATGGATAAACAGTAAATGTTGAAAATATACAAGGACAAAAAAGGGGAATTTTAACACGTAATTAAGATGATAAACAACGTCAGTACCTATTATCCAAAATTCAAGACCATCATGTATTATTTGTGAAGTTGATACGGAATATTTATCAACAAGGTCTTGGTGTCTTCCGATGAACTTTTTTAGAAACAGGACGAGACGTTCTTTGCCATAACCTTGGCTCATCAACTTTCTGCTCAGACACTTGTGAAGTTTTTTAAAGTCTGAATAGCAGCTGCAAGCTCTTGAATACCGAATGAGTTGGGAAATGTATATCCCATATGCAGGTGAAATTGGTATATTGCTGCTAAGGTGGGGAAAATTTATAATTTCAAAATTAAAATCGTCTCGCTTGTCATGGTTTTGGTAATGAGATGACCACTTATGTCAAATTCGAGGTATAAGTCTAAATGTGGAGCAGGATCTGCTTACCCTTCCGGAGCACCTGAGATCACCCCCAGTTTTTGGTGGGGTTCGTGTTGCTTAGTCTTTGGTTTTCTATGTTGTGTCATCTGTACTATTATTTGTCTGTTTGTCTTTTTATTTTTGGCCATGGCGTTGTCAGTTTGTTTTCGATCTATGAGTTTGACTGTCCCTCTGGTATTTTTCGTCCCTCTTTTCTAAAAATGAGGTGGAGGACTCCGTGTCTGTTGTTTCTTTAATTTCTAGTTTTGGAGGATATATTAAAGGAACCCAATCAGAAAAGTTTGGATTGTTGATGGAAAACTCGCCTTCGTGGTTGCTGCACATGTATTGTGCATTGTTCATTGTATAAACTCATCAACTTATCAACAACTGAAAAATAAAATAAAAATGTCATTTACTAGAAACTCTTTTCTTGGTTGTTCCTGTTTAAAGTAAGAAACATGATTTTCGAAGAACAGATTATTGAAATACTGCAGTTACACCGACTTTCAGTCTTTATTTTAGATTCTGATATTCTCTGTATTAGAAATAATTAAGAGACTATGTTGCAACTCCTTCAAAAAATTGACTTTAGATGGATTTGGTTATTTTTTGTATTGGTCATAAAACTCCTCATTTATTCAAATACTTGCATGCGAGCAATATATATGGAGTATGGCTTAATACGAAGTAAACAGACAAACGGACGGGCATGTGAATTAAAATATTAAAGACAGACTGGAGTCGGGACGAAATATTTCCGAAAATCACACGAACACGCATATAAATATTTATCTTACCTCCTATACATTTCTAGGAATATCATTGGTTAAAAGCGTCCGCGTGGAGACCGTGTATACTTCATATGGGGTTAGTAGGCGTGGTTTATTATAATTCACGGTTAGTAGTGTTATTACGTCCCTTTATAAAACAACACGACGTTGAGGAAAAATCTGAAACGTTTCGCCCGGACTAGAAACGAAGACATTGATGATGAACGATTGAAATTAATGCAGAAAACATATCAAAAGCTAACAAGTTGTTATTGTTGCCATTTATTTTTGTATAGACCAATGGAAGTAGGTTCTTTATATTGAAGATCACTTTGATATGCCATTAGTGTAAATACCACATGCTAAGTTATATGGTAAGATAAATTCGTTACACAGTGTGCTAGTGACCTAATACGATATATATGATGTCAATAAATAGGTTACTAGCACACTGTCTAACTAATAATGTCGATAGATCATGGGGGTTTTTAAGTACCGTCTTAATTTTATTACACAACAAAACAAAAATGCTTATCTCTTCCTTGTTTGAAATGGAAGAAGATACCAACAGTTTCTCTAGATCAATGAGTCAAAAGAAACACAGATGACACATAACCAAAGCATAGAAAATCTCATGTGATCAGGAAGGATATTTCATCCTTTGCAATATTAATTTTAAGTATGTACTTTTTACATACATTCAAGCTAAGATGTATGTCTCCCAATTGATAAGATATTACAGGGTTTGTATTAAACTAAAAACTGAACAAGATGACACAAACCAGGTGATGCATCATTTCGGGTTCAAAATCTTATTCAAGGTAATCATTTGTTAAAGGAATGAACAGATTAAAGCCTAACAAGTCAGGCCAAGTAGTTGATGCTGCAGGTTAAATACTTCTTTCTGAGTCGTTAAGAATTGATCTAAAATATAAATATGGGCGACAGTGCCACTGAATGTGTAATACATCAACAGTTGTATCAAAACAATTCTTTTTATCAAAACAAATAAAAAAAAGCTAATCAAAAGTATTTTTCGAAATTGTCAGAATGTCATTATAAGTGGACAAATATATGACCAAACTCATTTGTCCATCTAACATTTGAAGCAAATATTGCCATGATTTATCCAGAGACATGTGTTTGATTATGTCTATAGTTTACTGCACATAGTACGATGGCTGCATATTAAAAAGCTACCTGTTTGATTTTTCGAAAATTGATATATATGTCACCGTTAGCGAGATCAATACAGTAACTATCAAAATATTGATACCAGCTAAAGTCAAGGTAAGATAAAAAGTTTATGTACTACCAAATATAATCATATTTTTATTGTATATGACGACTACACTCTTAACAATTAAAACGGACAAAATGACCAATATATTATAGTGCATTCTGGAATTACTTATTGATGAGGTAATGTATTTCAATAAAATTAGAAATACATTCCTATTTATACATGTTTTGTTAAATCCATCAAATTGAAAATTTAAATAGACGTTTATATTTGACTTGTATATATATATTTTATAAAACAGAGTTTTAATCAATCATTTAAAAAAAAGATATAGTTAAGGATTTACGTCTTGGATACTCATTAATACAAAATGTATATACATGTATATATGTTGGCATATACAAGTCGATATACACATGTTTTTGTCTATTCATTCATATGAGGTAGAATTTATACAGAAGATTCCTGGGAAAAATGAAAAGAAGCTAGTAATATCTTTAAATTACACTTTCCGCTATACAGATGATGTTCTGTCACTTAATAATTAAACGTGTTTAACAAGATTCATCAGCGCCTGCATATGAAGTATATATCTCCCAGTTGATACACTATTTAAGAGCTTGCATTCATTTCACGGTTTCCATGAAAGAGGGTTGATGCTTACAAGGAAGGTAGTAAACTTATGGTTCCAAGTGATGAAGTTGAGGCCACCCCTTCAAAAAATGTTACGGACATAATCGCGAGTTGATTGATCCTATGGAATATCTGTTCCACAGATGACAATGGATATGTTCCAGATGTTGTACCCACAATTCCTTCCTCTTTTCCACGAATGTGACACCACCGAATTGGACTTTTCAACGAGTTTCTTACACAAGAAACACGACGGGTGTTACAATGTGGACCTGAGATCACCCCACGTTTTTTTTGTGAGGTGTTTGTTGCTAAGTCTTAAGTTTTCTTTCGTCTGTTTTGTATACTGTTCTTTATCTGTTGGTCGTGTTTCGTTTGTAAAATAATTTAAGCTTTATTTTCATCTTTTACAGGAATGGTCGATATCACTGCTTACGGACTATCAATCCCCGAGAGTATCTTCAACTCATAAGTCAGTACTTTGGTGATCCATGATTTATTAAAAAAAACTTTTCTAAAATTTTCCGATCATAGATTTAGAACTTATTAAGAGACTAAGGTTTCAACTCTTTCAGGGATAGAAAATCCAGATGAATTGATTTCGAAAAATTTCAAATAGAAGGATTTGAACGTTCCTGATGCAGGTTAATCCAGAAAAGTTCTATTCATAAAGTGGTTTATTCATTTTGTTTATCATATGTTTATTACATGTGTATAAACATATAATAGACAAAATGAATAAAACACTTTGTTACTTTGAATATATCAAATGAGAATACTTTAATGAAGAACTTAATGTATAGTAATGCACCAAGGTTAAATAGCAGGATGAAAAACGATATGTGTTCATTGTTGGTTCACTAAAACAAATGCATAGTCAATGTGAAACAGAAAAAGTTCGATGAGCCTAGCTTTTCTTTTTGGTTGGAAAGCTAATGATAAAAAAATCAAATATTTGTCGACAATGACAATTTACTGTAGTGTATATTCTTACTAAATGAACCTACTTGATCTACCTGTGAAGTGGATGAATGGTTCCGGAATTATTTACTTTATACGACTATTCAATATCCATTTAAATCATATTTTACGCTATCATTAGGTTATCTGCTGATACAATTACTGGAATCTGACAATGTGACAATTTGTCGGAATTAAAGTCACATTTGTAATGCAAATTACAACTGGAAGGATTTCTTTTTTTTTCAAAAATCATCAAATTAAGTGCATTTATCTAAATTGATTCATCATCAAGATATTGAAAAATAATTCTTCAATGTCGTAAAGTTTGTAAAGTCATTAAACAGATTGGTCTAAGATATTGCTTACTTGTTCGGACACGCAAAACTAAATTCTTATACAATTTGCGCGTTTACTTATTTTCCGACTTCTTATATCTCAAATTCAATGTTTTTCAAATGATAACGGAATTTATACCTTAAAATAACCGTTCAAAAATGAACCTATACACATAAGGTTTACGAGCTTTCCACTGCAATATTGTCAACATGATAAATCTGTTTGCAAGTCCATGAAATTATGGGTACATTCCGACAGAACAATATAGAATTGGTTGTTGGTCCATGTGGATACCGATTTTCAAATATAATCATCTTTAGTTTGTCATTTCTCTTATATTCTGTAGTGACTGTAAACGTTACTAAGATGATGAAGTATACACAATTTGTTTCCTTCGGAGACAGAGATACTTAAAAATAATTTATGGAGTGCATTTAATTCTTTTTTTGTCAACTCTCCAAAGCTAGTAGACAAAACATCCGGCTAGTGATGGCGAGTTGTGACGATGTTATTATTCACCTGATGACATAACGTTAAACTATGGTTTTTCTATTATCAAAACGATGGGATATATTCAGTGACAATCACATTAGAATATCTAGATAATTGCGAGTTTATTATTGATGAATTAAATTAAACAATCGAATTTCCATCAAAACTATTATTTTAATCCAAATCAAACAAAATGGCTCCGTTTTGAAGGCCTCACTGTGGCTTTGAGATGCAGAACAGCAATAAAAGCGCTGTTTCTTTGCTTTTTGTATGTTTTTTGTTAGTTGTGCATGTACAGATTTTGTGTCATGAATGAATACCCCATATCCTTTGTTTTTTTCTACTGAATGGTTTGATGCTACTTATATTATAGGAGATTGTTTTTTTAAACAAGATTTATAATTATGGAGATCATTTAAGTGAATATATTATCATTATCTATTTTAGAAAGATCTGGAGATTATGGACCAGATAGGCGAAAAAATAAACAACTGGCAGCTACCAGTTTTTGCTTTGGGTCCACATGAACAGGATTTGGATGCATTGATACGTGAAAGCTGATTTTCGAGTAGTATGAATATAAACGACACAGAGGGGAAGAAACACTGCGAAACAACCGATGAAATATTGAGGTGGGTAATGAAAAACGTCAAGAAATTTGCAAATGAAGATTTTGAAAGACTTATTATCAAGGACGACTTAATCCGATTTTGTAGTTCGAGGGATGGGTTGAAGGTCAACGATGCTTTAGAGTTTGATTGAATACTTCTATTTGATATAAGTGGAATGATAGTATCGAAAGAGTTGGCAAGATATTATTCCTCTGAGGAAATTCTTGGCATGATGAAACTTTGTGTCATTAATGCTGAATATCTTATTAGAAGATTTCCTGGGATAGAAAAGACCGAAATATTTAAAAAGTTTGCAAATGGAGAGTACTTCTTAAACACAAAAAAATTGTAGGAGAAAGTTTTCAAATCTATAATTGACAAAACGCGAAAAGTGATTAATGACAAATTATATGATAAACACAGTTCTTATTTTCTTTGTCGTACTGCAAAAAAAAACCTCCTACATTCGATATCATCATAACGCTTAACAAAGAGAAAGACATATCTGATCTTCGTGACGACATCAAATTGGTACAAGGTGTGCATGTGGCAATAGAGTCCGATAAAAAACCAAGCCTTGATATTGATTTTGTCCCAGCATTTCATTTACGGAATGATCGTGTTCCCAACCCATATACTGAAATATTACCCCATGGATTTAGAATTGAACAAATGAACTGTCAAGTTTATGCTGTAATGAAGTGGGCACATCGCAGCACAAAAGCCTCATCAACGTTTGACAGTGCTTGTTTATGAAGAGAATGTACGTCTGGATATGAAAAACATATTCTTGATGTTTGTAGACAAAATAACAGCAAATAGATATAGGAAGATGTGGTATGAGTACCAATGAGACAACTCTCCATCCAAGTCACAATTTATAAAAGTAAACCATTATAGGTCAAGGTACGGTCTTCAACACGGAGCCTAGGCTCACATCGAGCAGCAAGCTATAAAGGGCCCCAAAAATTACTAGTGTAAAACCATTCAAACGGAAAAACCAACGGTCTAATCTATACAAAAACGAAAACACTTATGAACCACATAAACAGACTACAACCACTGAACATCAGATTCCTGACCTAGGACAGGTGCAAACAATTGCAAAAGCTTCCTTATGACTGCTTGTTGTTTGCTGAAATCGTATGTAGCCAATCAGCATAAAACAAATTAGATGAGATCGATTCCTGCATCTCAACATTTAAAGACTATTTGTTTCTACTGCGTTACTTTTCTTACAACGCCAAGCGACCATATTTCACTATCTGGGTTGAAAGAGGCTCTAGGATATTTTCTCTTTTTTTCTGGGTCTATGCATAGAAATCAAAAACCTGCCTCATTACTTCTTTGGGAATCCATGGTTATGCACTCACTTTCCTGATAGCTCGTTTGGGCATGGTCAAAAACTAAAGAACCTGTATAGCTCTATCAATTGGAAACCTTCCAGCAAGCTTCATTAAGCTATAAGGCAATGCTAGATGATCTGAAAGGACTTTATACTGAATTCAATCATCTAGATCCGCATCCTAAAGGAAAATTCAAAGAACACTTGGGTTATAAAACCAACTACAGAAACCTGCCAAAATTAAGATCAAAATTGAAACCATGCATTCGCACAACAATAGTTTGCCTATTCATCATAGCTTGTATAATTATATTCCTTATCCATGACCCCTACTGGATCCTGTTACATGTAATTTGAGTACTTGTTTGTGGTTCATTTGAGATGTTCTGTGACATGTTTTGTCGTCTTATTCTCAGTCCATATATTTGCTTTCCAATACTATATTCAGCATAGCTATTACAATTATATATCTTCTTTCTTGTTCTTTCTTTTTTTTTGCTTTTTTACTGTCATTGATTTAACGTGTTCACTTTCATTTTATGGCCTTCTATGTTATTTTTTGTCATTTTATACTCAGAATATATGGAACATAATACACATCCTCATACATGCATTAAATGCAAAAATTAATATATTTATCAGAACTATTTGAAATGTTTGTAATTATTCGGGCGATAACAAGATGTACAAGATGTATTCATATCAAAGCTTTTCTGACAGATATTCGCTTTACTTGTTCATGCCTTTTCCGATTTCCATGTAATACGATACCTTTTAGGCAAGCAATTCTTGTTTTCAAAAAAATGTGACAAAAATTATTTTGCATCCGTTGTGCCTATGTCGTTAACACAGAAGATAATTGAATCTTCAATGTTTTGCACTTTCTCTTTGAGAAATCTACAGGTTCACAAGAAAACGTTGTGGTAAATGGTCATCATAAAATAATAAAAATAAACCAGGTAATATTATCAGTTCCTTGTTAATGTAGCAATCGATAATTATATAAGTACAGAATGGCAAAGAAGTCTTGTGTAACATTTATTTGAAATATTGCTTTGCACATAAAATTATCGCGTACAAACCTAAATCTTTTTTTCTACTGACTGTAAATATAACTGGGAATATCCCATTCTCCTTCATGATATATAAGCACCTCGTACAGAAAATATAGTATCAACAAAAGCATAGAATAAAAGTCGGCTAATCATTTTTCTTTATTTTCTATAATGTTTTACCTGAGCAAACATAAATTTTAACTCGTTGAATGCACGAAAACATAATATGATGTTTCAGTCAAAGATCACAGCACAATGCTCGAGTACTAAGTTGTGTACAATAAGTAGATTTCGAAAACCTGCATGATATTAAGGACTATGTGGAACACGTTTAAAATTTGTGTATGGAAATGATTTTAGTAGGTGTGTGTACATATTATTTTTTTCCAATGCTTCTGTCAGTGTTTTTGTACTACAATATTATCATTGGTTTCGCCCTGATTCACGTTCGCCCTAGTACCTGTTCGCCCTTATACCTGTTCGCGCAGGGTCCATTCGCCCTGATTTTTATTTTTTTTAATAGATGTTGTCTACTTGCATAATGTTTATTATTTGAACAGAGTATGGTAAAGTATGTTAAAAAATTCGGCGAATATGTGTATTGCTGCAAACGAAAAATTAATTTCCCTTTAATTTTGTTTAAGTGCTTATCTTTATTGATATATGTTAACTATACAATTTATGCAGTATCATAACAGAGACATAAATGTCTCTGATTTTAATAAATGAACTTTTGGGTTGTTGTCTCTTTGACATATTCCCCATTTCCATTCTCAATTTTATTTTAAATCCTTTTCATATTTTACAATTCGTATATGTACATCATTGTTTTTACTCATTTCAAGACTAGTTTATCAAAGCAAAACGTTCTTTATACAATTTTGTGTATTATCATTCCACCAAAGACAAGTATTACAACTATCAGTGAGAACTATTATTATGTCATTGAACCGTGATTTTAAATGCTCCAGAGACATAAATTCACAGAGATTGGCAACTGTAACAGTGTATATATGTCTCTGTCCAAAACAAGCCATTAACTTTTAAAAATTCCATGTTATTTCATGAATTTCTAGAATTTACACCATATAACTATTTGAATAAGTTTATTAAACTTTAATTCCCTTAATATCCATATTTAAAAAAAAAGAAGGGAGAACCAACCCAGGGCGAACGCACACTAAGGGCGAACGAACTCAGGGAGAACGGACCCAGGGGCACGAAGATAAAACCTGCATGCATCTATGATAGGCTATGGTACATATAAATAGCAGTGTGACCTGCAGGCTCCTATGATAGGCTATGGTGCAGATCATAAGCGAAGTGACCTACAGATATCTATGATAACTGCGAGTACTCTCAGATCTGTACTTAGTGTTTTTTTGTTGTTATTCACATGTACAAGTACCCGTCCACTTCCACTTTGTGTTTTTGTTAGATGTATTTCGATTTGTATCCATCTGATGAATTAAGCCTTTTTCAACTGATTTTTATAGTTTGTTCTTATGTTGTACTGTTACACTACTGTCCCAGCTAGGATAGGGGAGGGTTGGCACTTTTAAACTAGTTTAACTCCGCCACATTCTGTATGTGCCTGTCCCATGTCAGGAACCGGTAAATCAGTGGTTGTCATTTGTTGCTGTGTTACATATTTGTTTTTCGTTCATTATTTTGTACATAAATTAGGCCGTTAGTTTTCTCGTTTGAATTGTTTTACATTTGTATTTCAGTCGGGGCCTTATAGCCAGAAATTAGTAGTACTTTTGCTAATTAATATTCATAATATGTAAATGAGAATTGTACCACGTGATCATAGTTTGAACTGGACTGGCTTAATATCATTAAAATCTTTAAAACACGGATATTATAAGTTGCCCGTCACAGAATCTTTGTTTATAATCACTCTGATATTTCCGTAAAGTTGTGAGGGTGCAATCAACAGTTTTTTTCTATGACGTCATATTTTAAGGGACCATGCCGAAGTGACCCTTAGTGGTGGAATGGTTAATAAAGATACTTGTATAAAACTAGATATTAATAGAATCAGAATTTTCTCTAGTTTATATTGAAATAAAAATATACTGTACTTTTAATATAGTAAAAAAGTTTTATCCAGAGAAAATGGGGAAAAAGTTGCCTAATCTGAACATAAAAAACCTGAAATCAGGTCATGTGCATACCCATGTAAACATGATACAGGCACATTTCCCATAATCAAAACTGTATGAAATTCATAGGTTTTTACCTGGCCTTTAATAAAAATCTTGTTTCAGGGTACGGTTTCCTGCTTCGAAAAGAGCTACAGTGGCTGCAAATAAGTTTTCAATTTTCACTGCCAAAAAAACAGGATGTTTACAGTGTTGTCTCCACTCAAAACATGTATATTTAATCTAATTTTTAAAATTATTTTAATCATTCAACCTGTTTAAATTGAAAACTAATTAACTAATTTTTACGATCAAATACCAAAAACATGATACTTTTTCACCAATTATATGAATAAAAAGGGATTTCCCTCCATGGTTATTTTTAGTCGGGGAATAACCCCTAGTTTTTTTTATACGAAACTGTTTATAGCACCCTTAAGCAAAACTTTGTATGCGATATATAAAACATTCTCTACTTTTCTGAATCTGTACATTATGTCGATTAAAATGATGTCTTACTTTAAGGATTGCGACCATCGATAGTGAAGCTACAGCTCATTTTTTATGTCGCATAGTATTGGCATATTGGCCAGTGGCAAATAGTTAAACTGGCATATTCCAAACATTTCCTGTATCACATTTTCATCAGTTATACAAAGAAATCATAAAATTGGGTTTCTATTGAATAAATAGAATAAAAACTGTGAAATAAACATAAATAAAGTTACTTTAAACAGATTTTGTCCCTAGTATTACATGAACTAAGGTTTAGCTGAGTTGAGAAAAATATTGAAATAGTGTATTTCTTAGGAACGGCACTTGTAGCTATTTGACTATAAAAAGTACCAAATATATAATATAATGAATAAAAATGTATGTTACACTGATCAGTAGTAAAGGTCAAAGTAGAAAAAATCTACACTTTTCATGTGCAACTTTTGGTTCCAAATATTTGAGAGAATGAATAAAAATATTATGACGTCGCAAAAAGATGAAAAAACTTCAAAATTTGCACACAGTCTACCCGTACGAAAAAAGAAATAGGATTCCACCTAGACACTAGAAGGAATGTAGTATGAATCCACCTAGAATCAAAGATTCTATATAGAAAGTAGGCGGACATGGAAAATGAACAAAATTCTGACTGGATTTTTTATTTTCTCCACTTGCAAAATCCTACCATCTAGCTGGAATTTTAAAAGTCTGAATGGATTTTTTCTGTTTTGAAAATCTTAAGTGGGAATTTGGACAGAAAATATGATAAGATTATTCATTTTCCTACTACAAGATTCCTACCAGAATTAATTTATTCCTACTAGAAAATCTTTCTACATGGAATCTTTTTAATTATCTTAAACTGGATTCTTGATTGCTAATGATACAAATTTTGCTGTGTTAAATGCAAACAAGTTCCAGTTCACAAATTCAAAAGTTGGAGGGTAGAAAAATGAAAAGTTGTGTTGGAACACAATATGCTGCAAGGGTTAAACAACTACAATATTGAAATATGAGAAAATATGGCTCATGTAGACTGAAGGTAATGTTTATACTTTTAAGATGAAATGTTTGATCTGTTTGCCAATATATTTAGTAATCACTTAA